TCAAGCTGCTTTAAAAAGACTTAGAAATAGTCAGATTCATAATAATCAAATGAATCTTGAACTGATCTTAAACTCTGTTTTGAAAATTCAAAAGAGAAGAACATCAAAGCTGATTATTCATCTGCACTGGGTTCCTGCTCATATGAATATTCATGGCAATGAATTGGCTGATTCAGCTGTAAAAAAGAGTGCAGAATTAAGCAGATCTACTCAAAAAATTGTGTCTTGGTCTTTTATAAAGAGAAAAATAAAAGAATCTTGTTTAGACAAGTGGAATGGAAGCTGGCAGAAACAAAAGAAGAGTATACATTATTCAAGATTTGAAACAAAGCCCAAGTGGAAATCTTGTTCAATTAAATGTAAAAAGAAAATATTCTCATCTATAATACAGCTGAAACTAGGACATGGCTATTTCAAATCTTATATACAAAGATTTGATGATAGATTTGACTCAATAGAATGCTCATTCTGTAATACAAATGAGAATCCTGAGCATATTGTAATGCACTGTGCATTATACAATAGTCTCAGAGTCAGATTGAAAGAGAAGTATGATCTAAATCAATTAAATATGAGATTCTTATTCTCAACTGAGACAGGAATTAAATACTTAATAGACTTTCTATCAGAAACTCAAGCAGCTACAAGAAAATGGCTAAATTCAGAATTATCTGAATATGAAGAGGAGGAAATCAACCAGATATAGTCTGTTAAAACAGCTATATACTATCTTTTAATAATTTGTTTTATTACAGTCTTTCTTTATTCTATCTTTTTCTTTCAATTTCTTTCTGTCTATCTATTTAATGTGTCTATCTTTAAGACTGTGTTCTCTTTTCCTTTGTCATGATATTGTCAAATGGTTTCAAAGTATGAGATGATGTTAAAACACTGCAATTTGTAAACAGTTTTTGTATTCTGGGCTGGAATTTTCTGATTTTGCATATCTGAAATTGATGAATGTATAATAGTTAACTTTACAGATATAGGAAAAACCCTGAGAACTAAAAGTTCTCAGGTAGATGTCATAGTCTCTGACTGCATACATCTATAATTGAAGAATAATAATAATAATAATAATAATAATAATAAGAAAATTACTACTGAATTAAAAAAGCAGTCTCAGACTGATTCTGTAACTGTGAAAAAGAATAAGAATAAAGATGAGAATAAAAGTACAACTGTATAAAAGTACACTCACTGTAAAAGACATGAATATATATTGATAGATATTTTATCTTACATTCTGATAAAAGAAAAAAGAAGATGAACAAGAAGAATGATAATAAAAAGAAAGAGAAGAAGAATAACTTAGTAAGTTCTCAATCAGTAGTAAATACAGTGATTATAAAGATTGAGTTCTATTTCTCTTTCACAGTCACTGAAATATCAGTCTCTGAATCTTGATATTTGAACATATGTATAAGTCTGAATATAATAGATGAGCTTCATTCTTTTTCAAATATTAAATCTTTTAATGATAACATCTCTGTCAATTCTGCAACTGAGAAAACTGAGTTTATCAAGAAGATTGAAACTGTTATCTTAAAGATTGAGAATAATGATGTTAACTTGTGAAATGTTCAATATATTTCTAATGTTACAGTTAACCTACTCTTATTTGCAAAGCTTGAAGATCAGGAATTTCAATTTACATTATCTTTCACTATTCTCTCATTTTTCATTTGTAGAGCTCTGAATGATGTCATTTTTCATACAGTTCAGACTGCTCAGAATAATATATATAAAATTATTAAATAAGAGTTCAATGAGGATTTCAATTATCTCAGTAAGACAGTCAAGTATATTATGATGTCTCATGAGTATGATTTTGAGCAAAAAGTTGTTTTTTCTGTGACTACTACTACTACTATTAATAACATTGATTCTGCAGTCATGAATATAGACCTTAAGAATACAAAGATATCAAAGACTCTTTTGAATTAATATTACAATTTCAGTTATATTCACACTAGTGCTATAATTACTATGATCAAGAATTCTCATACTGAAGTTATAATTAAAGATTCTAAGACTAAGTTCTTTTGCAAAGAATGTGTCAAGACAGATATAAGATGAGATTATTAAAAAACACTGATGTCTAGATCTATTCAATTCATTAAGAAGGTTCATATTAATCTTGTAGATAGTAGATATACATTGAAAGATCTCTCTGATCATCTCTTTGAGTTCTGTCAGAGAATTAAATACTGAATGCTTATCACCTGCAATGCAACTTGCTATCATTGAGTATATTTTTTAAAGTTCAAGAATGAGACTGTTCAATACTTTGAGTTATAGCTCAGATTCATGAGTAATCTGAGGTATACAGCTTCTGGTTTTCTACAGACTGATATTGATGATGTTTTCCAATCTACACATATACACACAGTTATGAATTCATATGATATTAAATGAGAATCAATGATATCTTATTCATCACATCAAGATGAAGTTTCTGAACATGAAATCTGCACTATTATAAAATGAGTTAGAGCTGCTCTTTTGAAAGATAATCTCTTTAAGAAGTTCTGAGTAAACATTCTAGAGACAGTGATTATAATAATCAATAATACTTCTATATCTACAGTTCTTTATAACTTGAAATTTTGATTCTCTACTGCAGAGACTCTCATGATCTCAAGTTTACATAAGATTTCTTAATATGCACTTACAAATATCTCACTGAATGTGAGGCATTTTCACTGATTGAGTGCAGTGATCTTTGTTCACTGACATGAATTTCAGAGATCTGTGAATAAGCTTTCTTCACATGTTGATTTCTATCATATCATTGAATTCAGTGACATATCAATCTATCATCTATAAAATCCTGAATCTGATAAGATTATTATCAGTAGTGATGTGAGATTTCTGATTACTGAAAAATCAGAATCAGTTGTTACATCTGTAACACTCATTAATTATATCACTGAACTGAAACCTGGCATTTGTCTGATTAATAATGAGAATGCTTCTGACATTGATAATCTGAATTCTACATAATTGCAGCCCGCAAAATCACTGACTACATATACTCTAAGCTCTGTTACAGGTAACCTCTTAAAGTTCTACAAGAATGTGACATCTTGGTCAGAGAAGGTAGAACATTATTGAAAGAAGTTTATACAATGAGAGATTACTGACCTGAAGCGACATAATATATAAAGTTTGATCTTTAGATCTGATATTCTGAAGAATGAATCAATTACTCTGAGCTATTGAGTATTTCTTGAGAAAGATAGGCCTGTGAATCTGAATACTGATTCTGATAATATTCTTAGAAAATCACATTAAGTGATTTATAATAACTGACTTAAGAAGAGTTCTAGAGAAGAGATCTATACTTCTATTATCACTGATACTGTCAATTGTATTCTTTTTACAATAGCAGTACTACACAGTTAAACACTTTATTAAGTGAATATAGTGATAGTATATCTGTATTAGTGCCTTACTAAGAAGATCTATATGAGATAACTCACTGAATTTGAGACAGGTTCACTCAAAACACTTGTCTGTGTAATTGAGAGTAGTTTATACAGCCTGGATTTCACAGTGAAGATCTGATATAATTACTTAACAGCTCTGTTAAGTAATCTTGAATTTACAGTCAGTGTCTATGATCTGATACTCTGATATCATACATTCAGATAATATCTCTATATAACAATCTATGTTGACAATCTTAACATTATATCTGAAGTTTCTGAAAATGCTGATTAACTAGTGAGTATACTCAGTGATAAATTAGAAGTCAAGAATCTATATCAATTAATTAAGTATTTAAGTATGAAAGTTAATTGTTCTGACAAAGAAATTAATTTAAAATATTATCAATATATCAAATATCTTATTGAAGATTTCTATCTTAATAATGCAGTTGTTGTTGAAACACTAATAAAGAATGAATTCTGTATTAATAATTCTTCAATGTCTGAGAAAGAGACTGATTTCACAATTTAGTGATATTAATATAGTATTGTAACATGGCGGAACAGAAGCGGTGACTAGTCAGTGATGTCATGTAGAGATAGTTGTTTAAAAAGCTGTATAAGTAAGCTTGACTATCTTACTTAAATAGTGAGCTTGTAGACTACAGAATTATTACAAGAATATCACAGATATGATACTTAGTATACTAAGAAGATTATATAAGACATGCAGTAACTCTTGTATATATTTCAGTAGAAGAAAAATAAATCACTGACTTCTTTCATGAGAAGCCAGCATCTAGCTATTCTATATAGACAATGAGTGAATACTTTCTCTCATTTTACAAGTGAGAATAGCTGAAGTGATATCTCAGCAGTGTCTCACTATTAAGAAAAAGTAATCTGCTGATCTCATATAGAAGTGAGATTCTTATATTTATTAATCAGATCTTTCTATAATATATCTGAATAATATTATAGAGTAGTTGAAAACTGGTTCAGACAGTCTGTGAGATGAATGAAATTATTCATATAAAAGTGATAAGCTGTGTGAAACTGCAGCAGAGTCTTAATATAGCTAGAAGTGTAATAATACTCTTCTCTTTAAGAGCATAGTTCAGATATTCTCAAGATTATCAGATTAGAAATTATCTTTGTTATATAATAACAGTTATCAATTAATTAACAGTGCATATGCTGTATATAATATAAAGAAATAGATGAGTTTTTCTACTGACTGTATAGATCTTTCTTTACTCATCTTTATTTAAATTAAACATGTAATAAGTGAGTTTCTTATATATTGATTTGAAATGTGAAAAATATAGTTAATAAGTGACTTACAGATCTCTCATCATATTCTGTTTTATATATAAAATTCTCTGTAAAAGTAATATATTTTAGAGACAAAGCTAACAGTAGTGACAGAATTTTTCAAAAGAATTTTCTCTCTCTGTAATATATTTTTCTTCTCTCTCTCTCTTCTGTAATAGTGAGTGCATGAGAGCATCATTCTTGAGAGATAATAAGAGACTTATTCTGATGTTTTCTAGTGAGTAAATGTCTTTATGATGTGGCTGCAGCCTTCATGACTGTTAAGAAAGCCAGGTTGAAGGCAGAGGCAGCAGCATCAATGAGCTGCAGAAGTATTACTCTCATTATCACATTTTCTCTCTCTTCTGCATCTCTTACAGCCGCGGCAGTAGTTGCTGTGCCTTGCAGTGAGATGTCATCTCTTCTGCCAGTTGATTTGTCTGTGTTCAGTTCTTTTCCTGCCTCTTTCACTGCTGTTGCAACACTGCCCTCTCTCTCAATCAACACAGTGATATATGATCTCATGTGATCATTCAGAGAGAACTCTGAGAAGAGCTTGATTCTGAGAACAGTGACTCTGAGAAGCTTAATTCATAGTTTCTCTTTCACAGCATATCTGAGCCCTGCTCAGACTGCTACTGAGTTGAGTTCACAGAATTCTACAGTTTCTTTATCTTCTCTCTGTAAAAAGGCTTCAGTGCAGTCTCTGATCAGCATTACTACTTATCTATACTATATTAAACAGCTGAAGAAGAGAAGAATTTTATATACTCATCTCTTCTCTCACTTTCATTATTTTTATTGTATCTGTAACAATAACTTCTATCTTTCTATAAGTATTATCTACTCTACAAGAAGATGTCATATCAGTTCTGACAAGAAGCTCAGATACTCAAGCAGTACAGAGTGAGAATCTCAGAGCTTTAAGTATTAATGAATTCTGTTAAGACTGAGAAGATCTCTCTTACTCATCTGTAAAAGAAGATAAAAGTGTGAATCTCTGAGATGAAAAAACATCTCAGAATAACTAATTCTAAAAAGAGATTAGTTAGTATCACTGTTAAAAGTATTACAGAGATTAATTACTGATTAAAGAGAATCTTACTTCAGTTAAAGCAGATGACTGAGATACTTTATAAGTTGATAAATTAATACTTTCAGTATCTCTTATACTTTTTTATAGCATGCTTCTCTATGATACTGCAGTGCTAACTTCTCAGCAGATAAAGATACTGATACTGAAGACTTTAACAGTGAAGAATAAGTTTAATAAGAGTGTGATTATTGATAAGTAAGCTCTGAGATTCTCTCTTTTTACTTTTTCAGTGAGCTGTGATCTCATTAGATTAGCAGCAGTCTGCAGATTAATAATATTAATCTTTTTATTTTAATTTCAAATATTTCTTTTCTTTAATCACTTCAGAAATATTACACTTGTATAATCTTATTAAACTTCTAAAAAATCCTTTGAGAGAAAATAGAAGAAGAGTGTTACAGAGCTTATAAGACACTGACTCATTATTATAAAATTATCTCTAAAAAACTCTTTAAGAAAAATAAGAAATCTTAAACAGTATTTCTTACTCAATATCTCTGATATGTAATGAGACAGTCTCTACTAGCTGTCTCATAGCTTGCAATCTCTTTCTCAGCATTTTTCAAATACTCAAGCAGTTCTCATGAATTCTCTGATAATGAATATTCTTCTCATTTCACAAGATATTGAAGCTTACTGTAATATATTCACTTATTCAATATTTTCTTTATAAGATATTCAGTATCACTCTCTATCTTAATATTATTCAGCTGAGATGGCTCTGCTCTGAGATATTACTTATAGAGCTTTAAATAGAAAATATGAAAAACAGAATAAATTGATTTCAATCTTATAAGTAATTTCAACTCATATGTCTGCTTACTTATCACTCTTGTTACTGAGAAAGATTCTAGTTATTATTTACTGAGCTTCTTATATAATCTCATTGTCTTGATATTCTTTACTAAAAGTAGTACTTAATCTTCTATTAAGAACTTCATTAAAAGATATTTTCAATTATAGTATTTCATCTGCTACTTCTGAGTATAGTGAATGCTTTTTACTATCTTCTTATAAATTTTATTCAAAAGTTTCAATCTCACTTTTACTTCTGATACTGAGAAATACTCTGTTCTCTGTATCTATTTAACATTTTAACTGTCTATTTTCTTCTTTGACATGTTATCTGCAATGTCACTGAGTAATGAAGAATTATATTTATAACAAGCATAGAAAGAAGATATCTTTAAGATTACATTCCTTGTATTATTATATATGAATTCAGTAGTCAGAAGATGTTTAAGTCAATCATTCTGATAATATAAATAAAATGCTCAAAGATACTGTTCTAGTGTCTGATTCTGATATTCAGTCTGATTATCTGTCTGTGAATGAAATGTAGTACTGAGAAGATATCTTATTATAAGATGATAGTAAAAAGCTGATCAGTATTTGCTGATAAAGAGAGATTCTCAATCTGTTATTAATAATTTCAGAGCACTGTGATTATAAATGATAATATCTAACAATAGATCAGTCAATTCAGAGGCTTTAATCTTTTTATAAGTAGAAATATATTTGATCATCTTTGTAAAGCAGTCAACAATAATCAAAATTGAGTCATATTCTTTGACTCTTATTGACTTCAGCAGATTAACTATGAAATCTATTAATAGATTCTGTCATGAGTTCTTTGAAACAGGCAGTGATATCAACTCACTGTATTACTTATATCATGAAATCTTTATTCTTTAACAGATATTGTAAGTCTTAATATACTCTTTAACATCTGTCTAAAGCTTGTTTCAAGTGTATTTATATTTTAAAAGTTTCTCAGTCTTCTTTAATCTGAAGTGCTCTGTATGAGAATTATTATAATGAATTCTTAATAACTTCTGACACACTGCTCTACTATGAGAGACAAAGACTGAATCATTCAGCAGTAGAAGTTCATATTCTTCTAGTTATCAGTGACTTGATTTCTTAGCAGCACTGCCCTGCTCAGACTCTGTCTCTTTCAAGTTTAAATTAAATTCTTTCTTCTTCAACTTCTGAATTCAAGCTGCAGTAGAGATATTTCTCTTCTGTAATTTATCAATGAATTTTAAAAGTAGTCAGATTAAAAGATTATAGATCATTTCATTCTTTGTTAATTTAATAATTGTAAGATGTGATATAAGAAGCTCATGATCTTCAGTGTTAATTCTCTGTAAGAACTCAGGTTTTCTTTCATCTTCTATACTGAGTTACACAGCTATCTTACTAATGCTGTTTTCAAGCTTCAGAGAATCTCAACTCTCTGCAGCCAGCTTCTTCTGCAGTGATGACAGAGATTCTTTTATAGAATTCTTCTTCACATTAACAATATTATAATCAGACTGTCTAGACAGTATGTCAGCAGAGTTAAGCTGATCTGAATAGTATTAGATATAGAAATCATACTCTGAAAGCAGCTCTGCTTACCTGGCTTGATGTTCTGTCAAGCTCTTTATTATCAGAAAGTAACACAGATTTACATGATCAGTGAGAACTTACACTGAGTACTTACTATTCTGAAGATAATATTATCAGATCTTAAAGAATTTGACAATTACTAACATCTTCTGATTATGAGTATTATATCTTCTCTACATAAGTAATAACTTCTTGAAGAAGAAGATCACTGATCTTCATTTATAATATTTTATAGACTCTGTGAAAAAGTCTTCTCTCACAGACAATTCATTGTCTGTTTTCTCAGAAATAATTATTCTCTGATTCTTTCAATGTTGAAAGACCTTCAGTGTCAACTGTAAAAAGATTTCACAGATTTCATTTCTGAATGTATCAGTCTCACACTGACTAAGTAAGTCAGAGTCAAAGTGATTCAGTATTATAACATCTGTAAAAGCTTGTTTCAATTCTATAAATATCTGTGCAGTGTCTTGAATGAGAGTAAATAATCTCATTTTTCTGTCTTTCACACTTCTCTTTAACAGATCTGTAAGAGAGGCAGTAATCTGTGAATATGTATAGATGAATTATCTGTAGAAATTCACAAATTCTAGAAATATCTGCATCTCACAGTATGTTTACAGCATCAGCCAGTTCTTAATAACAGAGACTCAGCTTCTGTTCATTGAAATGTTATTCACTCTAATAATATAATCTAAGAAATCAATGTCCTGCATGTAGAATGAGCATTTTTCAGTATTTGTATAGAGTTAATACTGTCTCAAGTGACTCAACACTTCTTGAACATGAGTATTATGTTCTTTCTTCATTTTTGAGAAGATTAGAATGTCATTCAAGTATACTATACAGAAGACATTAACAAGGCCCTGCAGCACTTCATTTATATAGGTCTGAAAGATGACTGAAGCATTATAAAGATTAAAAGATAAAACAAGATATTCAAAATTGCTATACTTAGTATGAAAAGCTGTTTTTCAAATGTTATCTTCATTAATCCTGATTCTATGATAGGCATTCTGTATATTAATCTTTGAGAATATCTTTACTTCAGATAATCAATTGATCATCTTATTAATTAATAGTAATGAATAGCAATTCTTAATCATCATCTTATTGAGGTCTTTGTAGTCTATACATAGGTGTAGTCTATCATTCTTCTTAGATATAAAGAGTATAGACATCTCTGCTGAACTCTTTGATAAATATATTCAGTTCTTTGATTGCACTTCTTCAAGATATTTGCACAGAACATTCAATTCCTTTACAGATAAGTTGTAAAGAGGCCTGTATAACACTATTGCACTGTCTTTAAGACAAATCTTATATCATATCTTGATATCAGGAAACTTCACTGCTTCTCTTTCTAAAAAGATATTCTTAAAATCTGTAAAGAGATGTTGTATATATCTGTCTTCAATGACAGATACTACTGCTAATCTTACAGTGAGAGTGATGACTTCTTTATCTGTTCTTAAGTTTCAATTATCTGCTATACAGTATATTAACTCAATCTTTTTCTCAAGATTCTTCTGATAAAACTCTTCAGATTTCTCTATCACTGTCTCTTTATTAGTGAGATGATATCATCACATCTGAGTGACTCAGTCAATGAGAGAATTGTTTTCTCTCAATCACAGAAGATCTAGAATAATATTCTCATCTATGATATTAACTGTATGAAGAAGCAGACTGCTCTTCTTAAAGATTTCTTCTAAGTCTGTGATCACATACTTCACTTGAATTATGTCAAAATAATAACATTTGATTTCATCAGTAAATTTCATATGATCTGATAGATTTATCTTCTTTCAATTCTTCATCAAAGAAAAGAAATAGAATATGAAGTTAATATTCACTCTGAAGTTGAGTAGGCATCTCACTGATATCTTCTTATTCAGAATATGCATTGTGATTGTAATATGAATCTGAAGATGTGAGAATTATTAATTCTTCATTTCTTTCTCTTCTTTATCTTCCGCGGATACATTTGTCAGAAGAGAAGTCAACTTTGAGAAGATATCTTCTCAGTTTCTTCTCTTCTTCAGCTTCTTATAATCACTGACATAGTAATTATCAGCTTCATAGTTGAAATAGAGATCTTTATTAAATCTTTTTTAACATTTCTTCACAGTGAGTGAAGAATTAGAATACTTGAAATTCTTCTTTACTTTCTTCACACTGAAGCTGTCACAGTGCTGTTTAGATTCTGTTATTAATTACTTAGAAGAGATCTTATTAATCTTTTTCTTAAAGAATTAATTATTTAAATAGATTCAGAAAGTCAGGTTGACAAGCTCAGTACAATTAATTGATGAACTCTGATATTATAATATTATTGTTCACATC